TCCATATATAGAGTTCAGGTTCACTCGTGCTTCCTTAGACATACTACTGCTTTCTATATATTAACAAGTCAGATAACAGAGCCTCGTGTAGTGTCAATACATCTCAGACTTTGTCTGCTGCATGTTGGTATTCTTGTATAGAGGACGGAAGGGGGAAAGGGGAAAAAAGAGAACTTCCCAAAAAAGAAGTTTTTATGAAGTAGGGAGAAGTGGAAAAAAGTTTTTTTATTTCTATAAATAATTTTATATTAATGATTTTTAAAACAATTATAATAGAAAATGGTAGTATTATCTGGATATCTAATAATTATCATAATACTTTGTGATTTAGTAATGTATTGGTTAAAATGAATTCTGAAGAACTTTGTAATTATATAACAGATAATGGGATCTGTTATGGAAAGGTAAATATAATTGTTAAAAATATATTTATTATTTTGTTTCAAAATTAATATACTTTTAGGTTTTATTAATATTAAAGTTTAGCAAAATAATTCAAAGATCTCCACTTCAATTGGTATTAATACAATGGTTTGATTTTAAATTGAAAAAAACTCTATATATATAGTGGGTTAAAAAAAAATTGGAATCATTAATATATTATTATTTTATAATTATTATATAAAACTTAAAATTTATTTATTTATTTATTTAAGATATATATAATTATTTAAAAAAATTTTAAAAATCAATTGTATCATCATTATTTGCAATAACAGTCTCTCAACAGCTTGGTATTGAATTGATTAAATTCATCAAAATAAACTTTAAAATATTAGTCAACTCCTCTTTTATAAAATTATTTAATTCTTTCAAATTTTTTGGTTTATGTTTTTTCACATTTGTTTTAACTATTTCCTATAAATTTTCAATTGGATTTAAGTTAGAACTATTCGCTGACCAATCTATGCGATTTTACTGGTATGTTTCAGATCATTATCATGTTGAAATATCCATTTGCCTTTTAATATTCATTTGACTTCTGGAAGATGATTTTGTAAAATTTTGATATAATAGCTATCTATCATTATTGTTTGAAAACAAAATAAAGATGTCATTCCCTTAATACAAAATTCATCTACATAAAAGTTTTTGTTCGATCTTTTGATCTACGTCAGATTGGTCCTTCACCTTTATGCCATAATAAAATAATGTTTTAATATAATTGGAAAGCAGTTTTATTCATAAATAGAACTTTTTTTCAATTCAAATTTTAATATTTTTGTATCCATTCAATTTATTTTTCTTTGTGCCATTCCGTAAGTATTGAAGTGACTTTAGATAAACTTTTTTTATATCCAGTACTTATTAGATACTTTGAAATAGTTGAAAAATAAAGTTGAATGCCTTTTTGTAATAAACTCTTTTAAATAAAAACTTGGATCTCTAGTGGCTTGAATAAACTTAAGCATATACAGTATTTTTTCTATTAAAGGCAAGAAGATTCTAGGAAGTAAAAGGATCAACTTGTAAAATGTCACCTTTAAAAGCTGGACATGATATGGAAATAGAGGTTTTTTGGATAGAAAAAGGCTTATTATCTACCTTCTCACATATTGTCTCTTGCCTTTTTAAAGTGTCTATAGCTTTTTTATAGTTTTTTGGAGAATTTTGCCTATCCCAAGTTGACCCTGAATTTTAAGTAACACAATGTTATCTAGCTTTTATTGACTAATATGAAACACATTGGTAGCAAAATATAAACAAGAATTTACAGATCATATTCATATATTTTAATAACATTATTGGTGAAATTAAAGAGAATCAATTGGTTAAATCTTCCATTCCTTCAAATAAAGTATAACTGAAATAAAGAGATTATGAGACTATTAGAATAAGCATTAAATTTTCTAGATAATAAAAAGATGTTTATTTATTCAAGTGAGATCTTTAATTTTCTATTATCCTGATTAAGCTAAGTATAAAAAAGAGGTTATTTCCTTATTTCAGTCAGATAATAAAATTGAAAAGTAGAAGACTATAAGTTACTGCCCTTTTCTAGAATTGAGAATACATTTTTTAGACATTGTATAATGATATAGTAATAGATGAGAATTTTTACCACTTTTTTGAAACCCTCATACCATTGTAAGGCAAAAAGATTCTTGGGGAATGACTTTTTGGGCAATAAAAGATATACACTAATAAAATTTATTTAATTAGATATAGCTATAGGAAGATATTGATAGTTACACAATATGATCAAAAAGATATATAGAATTTGGATCCATTATAAGCCATTAAGATCTGTATAAGTGAATAAAAAATCAACACTGAAAAAAAAGAAGTGACAAGCAAAATACTGAATCTGAGTAGGCAATAAGTATTTCAGATAGTTATAAGAAAATGATCAAGATCATAAATAGACAAGTTCTTCAAATGATTAGGAAGAAGAAGAATATCCTAGAAATATTGATTTCTAATGAGATGAGATTTTTAGTAGATATCTTTTGAAAAATATAAAGTACTTTTATTTTTATTTTTCTCTTCAAGTAGTATATTTGTACATTTTTAGATATTTCTTTTCTTTTATTTTTTTTTCCTTATTGTATTTTCTAAAAATCAGTTCTTTGAAGGATAATCAGTAATGGTAACCTACTAGCAATGATGAATAAGTTAGAAGTATTTTTATTCAAAACTTATTCCAAAGCAAAATATTGTTCCCAAGATCATATTTAGAAGTTGAAGCTCCTTTGAGAATTGATAACTTATGATAAATAAGTCAACATAAGATTTAGTTTAGCCATGATATATTTGCCTAATATATTATAAGTGAGTTTATTATTTATTATTAATAAACACATTATGCTAACCTGATTACAAGTTATAAAAAAAAAAATAATAATAATAAACTCTTTTCACTGATTTACTAATTATACATGAAAAAGATATTCATAAGAAGTTTTTATATTTATTGACTAATAAAGTCTTCTCACTTTCCTTAAAATAACTTAAAACTTATCTTCAAGGGTCATTATTATCTTATCTTACTTATTTACAAACTTCTTTAAACAAAAATTGGAGTCTCTGGTGGCTTAAATAAATTCATGTACATGCTTTCTTTACTAAAGGCAAGAAAATTCTAAGAAGTAAAAGGACCAACTGATGAAGTGTCACCTCATAGAACTGAATGTAACATGAAAATAAAGGTTTTTTTAGGTAAAAGAAGATATATTATTTACCTTCTCATATACTATCTCTTGCCTTCTTAAAGTGTTTATAGTTTTTTACAATTTTTGAAAGAAAATTTGTTTATTTTAACTTGATTCTGAATTTTTGGTAGTATAATGTTACCTAGTTTCTAATTGGTTAACATAAAACACATTAATATCAAAATATAAATAAGGTTTCACTAATCCTATCCATATGTCTTGATAATATAATTAGTAAAAGAAAAAGAAATCAAGAATATAAATACCTCCACTTCTTTAAATGAAATATAATCAAAGCAAAAAAGTAATGTGACCATTAGAATAAGCATTAAATTCTATAGGTAATAAAAAGATGATTATTTGTTTAAGACAAGACCTTCAACTTCTTATTATCTCAGTTAGGTAAAGTACACAAAAGAGATTAATTCCTTATCTCAGTCAAACTATAAGATTAAAAAGCAGAAGAATATAAAATACTGTCTTTCTCTAAGATTGAAAAAATATTTTCTCAAATATTGTGTAATGATATTGTAATTAAGATGAATACCAATAAAATTCTTTTAACTAGATGTAGCTGCTGAAAGATATCAGGAATTATATAATAAGATTAAAAAGTTATATAAAAATCTAAGGTCCACTATTAATTATTTTCTTTTGCACGAGCAGATATAAAATCAAAACTAAAAGAAAGAAAGTGTTGAATAGAATACTGAATCTGAGTAAATAATAAGTATCTTAGATAGTTACAAGAAAATAATCAAGATTATGAATAAATAAGTCTCTTAGATGGTCAAAAAGAAGAAAAATATTTTAGAAGGATTGATTCTTAATGAGAAGAGATTTCTTGTAAAGATTCTTTGGAGGACATATAGCAATTTTATTTTTATTTTTTATTTTTTATTTTTATATAGTATAATTGTATATTTTTAGATATTCACCTTTTCTTTTTCTTTCTTTTTCCCTTTTATAATTTTTTGAAATCAAATCCTTGAAGGATAATAAATAATGATAATCTACTAGCAATATTAGATAAACTAGGAGAATATTCATACAAAATCTATTATGGAGTAAAATATTGTTTTCAAGATCACACTTAAAGGTTGAAGCTCTTTTGAGAATTGAAAGAATAAGTTAGTACAAGATTTAATTTAATCATAATACAATTGCTCTATATATCTCTACTAATTTTTATAATAATTAATAAATATACTATACTGGTTTGACTATGAGTAATTAAAAAAAATAATAATAATAATAATTAATTTAAAAAATACATACAGTAATTTCAAATTAGCTATATCAATTATGCCATTGATAACTGTGTATTAACCATTTGATTTCTAGATAAATATGCACTCTTTTTAAAGATTTCAAGTAAATCTGTCTGAGACAAACCATGATAAGTTATTATTAATCTATATGTATATATATAAGATAATTGATATCATGCTTAAGATTTAATTATCAATAAAGAGCTCATATCTAATATCAGTTATAATTTTTAAAAAAAAAAATTAATAAAGTATACATGTGAGTCTAATAGAGGGTTTAAAAAAATTTTTTTTTAATGTTTTCTAATAAGAAATATTTATCTTTAATAGTAACTTTTGAAAATGCATTTACAAATATTTTTTTTTATATTTTGCAAGTCAAAATTATAATAATAAAATCTTGAACTTATAAATTGCCGTCTCTTTATAGTAGACATTTTCTCCATTTTTCTTAAAAGTAACAGACCCGGTGACAATTTATAGTAAACGATTTATAATTTAGAACCCTAAAATTTTGGGGTAGTCTCTGACCCGTAAATCACTCACAAAGAACTTCTTAAGAAAACGTCGATTCAAGATGACTGGCAATGATGTACGAGACATATTTGAACTAAACTCGGTAAAGACTTCAAATGATGGTAGTTCTGCTCCTATTAAGAAAACGAGCAAGCCTGAGAGAGAAAAAAAGCCTGGTTGGTATAATTGAAATTTTGGAGGGTAGTTTTCAAATTGATTTATAGAAGCCTTTCAAGTTTATCTACAGGCTATAATAAAATACGCGTTTATTAGTTTATAAGGCATCAATATACTTTATGAAGAGATATGAGAAATTTTAATTTTGCTGCGGTCGGATTATTTAAAAATATGTTCTTGATCAGAGCCTTAGTGGTTAAAAATTATCTAAACTGAATTTTTGTATTTATTTCAACCTGATATAAAGAGGGCATACCTCGAGAGCTATTCCAATTAATTGGCGGTCCGCCCCCTATAGCCTTTGTCAAGCCAGCCTTTAAAGCCAAACCAAATTTGCGCAAAAAAGCGGTTCATTGGTAGTATAAAATCCAACTTTATACGTAATTGTTTAATCAATACAGAACATTCATAAATTTTCTTTTCTTATTTTACAAAAATTTTAGGGAATTTAGACCTTTTATTAATCAAGCACGAACAGATCAACTGCAACTATCACATTGGGTTAAAGCTACATCCGATGAAAATTCAGGTGTGGTATAAATTTTATGATTATAAATAATAATGCTTTTATATTAACGTTTTTATTTATTAGGAAATTGGTTTGCCGAATATAACAAAGACACTGAAGTCTTGGAATATAATGAAGAAGAATACCAGAAATTTTTGACAGGTTGAATATAATTTCTTTTTTTTATGGCAATTATTTGCATGGATTTGACTTTATTTATTTGTCCCTTCTTTCGTTTAGACAAAGAGTGGACCAAAGAAGAAACGGATTATCTATTTAGCCTATGTCGCAAATACGATCTCAGATTTATAGTTATTCACGATCGTTACGAATATTCCGAACGGTCCATGGAAGTAAGTGTAATAACGCATACTTTCAATGATGTAATTTCATATATGCTACTAACTGATATTTGTTAATTATAATAAGGATTTGAAAGATCGTTATTATTCGGTATGTAAAAAGATCTTACAAGTTCGACCAGTGACTCCCGGAAACAATCAAACTGATAAAGGTGCATTGATCGCCCTAAATAGTTATGATAAAGGTATGGATTTTGTTAACAAATATATATTATTTAAACCCGTTCTCAATGTATTGAACTAATTTCGCTAATCAAACTTCAATACAGCTAAAGAGGAACGAAGGAAAAAACACATGCGCATGTTATATACCCGAACAGCAGAAGAGATTCAGGCATGTGTAATGGCCATGATTTTCTATAATCTTTATTTATAATCTCAAATCTAACTTATTTTTGTCTTAAGGAGGAGGAATCATTATTAGAAGAGTACGAGCGCATCGAGCAAAATGAAAAGAAGTTTGCAAAGGAACGAGAAAATTTGATGAAATTATTAAACTTTCAGGAAGTTGTTCAGGTAACTGTGATTATCTAATTACAGTATGTCAATTTTTTTAAGACTTCATAACAATCCCCTAAAATTTTCGCCTTCTAATCCAGCAAAAACGAAAGAAATCGCTTCTCAGTGGTCCAACTACTCCAACGACGGAAGTCGGTAATTCAATTTTCCATACTCCAGTTGAAATACCCAAAAAAAACCGTCGTACATCCTCATCTTCCGCTGGCACATCCGCTGTAGAAGGTGAAATACTAGTTATATTGAGATATTTACCCTCATTGTGACTTTAATGATATATAACATTTTTACTAAATATATAACTTTACTATTATAATTATGCAATTATAATATGATTGATACTAACAGTTCATTCCCCTATTGAAGTTCACGCCACACCTACCACAGCTCGAAGAGAGAAATTCCCACAGGGTGTAGTCGTTAGAAGTCAAAGGATACCTTCTCCTAAGCAGGCCATGGCAGCCAAAGTACAGAAGACCTTGCAAGAATTCGGGCTAGGTATAGTAAATAATATTGTATGTAAATATTTTTATCGAATATACAAAGTAAATTATTATTTTGTAATTAGGACCCCGCCCGACTATACCGACCGAAAATGTATGTGGTAGATGGACAGAGCTACAGAAGGCCATACAGACACTTTTGGAAATAAAGAAAGGTGTAGATAAACAGGAGCACGAGTTGAAGGCAAAGATAAATTTATATAAAAAGATTACTTCAGGAACTGAAGGGAATAATGGTTCGAAGGCATCGACTGTCGGAGGAAATGGAGCCGGCACGGCTAAAAAATCAGATGCTGAAAAGACAACTACCGAAACTAGTACACCTGTAAGTTATAATCCAATATTTCGGATTTCGAAGAATTGTATTCTCACCCATTTTTATGTATAGAAGCGAGATAGAATAACATTGACAGCTTCTCCACGGGACGTTAAACGTGCTCGAAAATAAACTGGCGGCAATGTTGACCAATCCGTTGTATAAAAACTATTAATGTCATACTCGGATTAATCAATGCGTGTTAATAATCTACGAACATAATTTATTGAAGAAATGATAACAAATTGCATGTTGATAATAAACTTTCATCCATCATTAAAACGAAATTAAAATGCAATGATTTTTAATTCAACAATAATGTATACTTAATATCCAAAATAAAATAAAAGATTAGAAAAGGCGGTTTTTTTTTGAATTTTAAGATTTATGTTTCTTAGTAAAAGAAGACAAAATAAAAAAGTCAAATGGCTTGTGAAATTATATAATCACAAAGTGATTATAAATTTGATAGTTTTTGCTTTTTTGTTTTATACATACTTTGTATAATGATAATTGATATAATAAAAAAATCTTTATAAAATTTCTTAATTTATAAATAAAAATTTTTAAATAACTCTAAGTATACTGTAACTTTAAAAAATCAATAGTTTAAATAAACTATTAATATTACTATTTACAAATTATTGCTATAGATCTCTTTATTTGAATTTTAACAATAATAAAAATTATTTCATTCTATTTATTATAATTTTTATTAGATTTTATTTTTTTTTATATTTTTGATCTTATTAAAGTTTATAAAACAAAGTAATTTTATAAGTTTTATAACTTTATTATCTTTATTTATTTATTTATTTTATTTTTATCTATAACCAGGCTAAATAATAGTTTATTAATCTTTAAAAAAACAAAATATATATTTATTAGAATAGAATAAAAAATACTATAGCTAAATATTTATGTCATAATGTATCTAATAAACTTATCTTAAACATAAGAATCTCTAAGTTTGATCTTAAGAACAATATTTAATTTTGATAGAGATTTTAAATAAACACTTTTCTAATTTCTATTATAATTGTTAACAATTTATTACTACTATACATTCTTCAAATCATTGATTAATAGAAAACTATATAAGAGAAAGGAATATAAAGAGGAAATATATATATATAAAAATATTTAAATAGATATATAAGAAAATGAAAATAATAAAAAAAATAAAATAAAATTCAATTTCTTCAAAAAATTCAACTTTTCAAATATTTTTTCAATAAAATAGATCTTTTTGAAATATTCTTTCTTTTTTAGACTTTATAAAGAACTTTGTATATTAATAATTTCTTTTTTGTCATCTTTTAAACTATGTTTCTTTAGTCTATAACTTTAGGTTTTACATTGGTCACTTAGAATTTTTCACATATCTCACTTAAAGACTTATTGTTTTGATTTTTACTGGATTAAAAAAAAGTTAATCTTAAAAAGCTTCACTAGTTTAAGTAATAAAAATGAAGAGATTTTACCTAAAAAAATAATGACTTGAGAATATATTACTCAGATCTTATTGATTTTATAATCTTAAATTCAATTAAAGAAGAGAAAAAAATTAGGAAACTAATCAATTTTTTCTTTTATCAATGACATTATTAATATATATGATATAATTAGTAGAAGCTTGTTTATATTCTGCTATCAATAT